CTTGTGTTCCCTCTCTCACTGTGTCTCTCTCTGTCAAATAAATAAATAAAATCTTTAAAAAAAAATGTGCAGGGAGTGCCTGGATAGCTCAGCTGGTTAAGCATCCAACCCTTGATTTTGGCTCAGGTCGTGACCTCAGGGTCAGGAGATCGAGCCCCATGTGGGGTTCCACACTCAGCAGGGAGTCTGCTTAAGAGTCTCTCTCTCTCTCCCTCTGCCCCTCCCCCTACTCGCATGCTCTCTCTCTCTAAAATAAATAAATCTTTTTAAAAAATGTGCAGGGAGGGGAACCTGGGTGGCTCAATCAGTTAAGCGTCTGCCTTCAGCTCAGGTCATGATCTCTGGGTCCTGGGATCGAGCCCCATATCGGGCTCCCTGCTCTACAGGGAGTCTGCTTCTCCCTCTGCCTGTTGCTCCCCCTGCTTGCGCTCTCTCTCTGTCAAATAATTAAATTAAAAAATCTTTTAAAAAAAATGTTCAGGGAATCCAAATAGACTTTTTTTTCAAGGAAAGCATAAAGATGTCCAACAGACTCATGAAAGATGTTCATTATCACCAATTATCAGAGAAATGCAAATCAAAACCACAATGAGATATCACCTCACACTTGTTAGAATGGCTATTATCAAAAAGGCAGGAAATAACAAGTATTGGAGAGAATGTGGAGGAAAGGGAACTGTCTTGCACTGTTGTTGGGAATGCAAACTGGTGCACATGCTAGGAAAAACAGTACAGAGGTTCCTCAAAAAATTAAAAATCGATCTACCATATAATCCAGCAATTTCACTGCTGGGTATTTATCCAAAGAAAACAAAAACACTAAATCAAAAAGATATTCAGTTAGTTGCAGCATTATTTACCACAGCCAAAATATGGAACAACTTAAGTGTTCATCAATGGATGAATGGATAAAGATATGGTATATATACACAATGGAATACTGTGCCATATAAACGAATGAAATCTTGCCATCTGCAATAACGTGGATGGGCCTTGAGGGTACTATGCTAAGTGAGATAAGTCAGACAGAGAAAGACAAATACCGTATGATTTCGTGTATATGTGGAACCTAAAATACAAAACTCATAGATACAAAGAACAGAGTGGTGGTTATCACAGGGGAAGGGGGCTAGAGGTAGATAAAAAGGGTGAAGGGAGTCAAATGTATGGTGATGGATGGTAACTGTAACTAGACTTACTATGGTGATCACTTTGCTGTATATACAAATATCAAATTATGATGATATACACATGAAACTAATATAATGCATTATATTAAAACCAATGCAAACTTGGAATCAATTTTACCTCAATTTAAAAGTGATGGTTCTTCACTAAAAAATAAATGCATATTTTTGGCAATCACAGCAGCAAGTCAAATTTGGTAGAGAGCAATGTTGTAAACTATCAAATGCCCTAAAGAGCAGTAAGAAAAAAAGTAATTCAGGGCACTATTATAGAGACTGCTGTAGTCACTGCCAAAGTTTCATTACTGATATGAAATGTACAAATCAGAGACTCTGCAAAGGTTTAAGGACATACTTCTTATCAACAGCAAAGGTCTGCCATAGGGCGATCAAATGCTGAACTGAATATAAACAAAATATCAAAACTTATGTAATAACTTGTATTTTTCCCAAAAAAATGAGAACAAAATTGAAATTTTTAAAAACATTTTAAAACTACACAATCTTTCAAATTCTAAGAGAAAATGATAGAACAATGTAGGTGTTAATCAAACACTAGAAGTCTGAAATTGCTGTTTTCCATGTATACCTCTCACAATCCAGTTTAATTTTTTTTTTCAGAAATTTATTCCCTAATATTACAGTATAGTTTTTACCTTAATCATATTCAAATGCAGGTTCTACTGACTACTAACAGCTTTAAAACATCAAGAATTATTACTACTGCTATTCCTAGGGTTAGTATTTACCCCAAACAGGTTGCTTTCAGGTATGTCTGAATGAACTGAAGAAAACAAAAGGAGCAAGAAGTTCACTAAAACTCAATTTCAGACATACATCAAACATCAGACAGGTTTCCAAAAATCAAAAGGCCCATCATTTGCTTCATGTGAGGCACAATTACTTCTACACTATTAGGAGTAACTTCACAATTCCCCTGCAATCACAAGTCTGTACTTCCAAGCCATAGTCACATGATGTCCCAGGTTCCCACTGACTCACAGAGCTGGTAAAACAAACATTCACCCTAAGCACATATCAAGTTTTCAGTGTACACAGGGCAGAGGTACAAAAACTGGGAAGAAAACAGCCGTTGACCTCAGGGGAAGGAAAGGAAAAATAAAATAAGATGAAAATAGAGAGGGAGACAACCATAAGAGATGCTTAACTCTAGGAAACATACTGAGGGTTGCTGGAGGGGAAGTGGGTGAGAGGATGGGGTAATTGGGTGATGGGCATCAAGGAGGGCACTTGATGTTATGAGCACTGGGTGTTATATATAACTGATGAATCACTAAATTCTACCCCTCAGACTAATAATACACTATATGTTAACTAAACTGAATTTAAAGAAATAAAAAAATAAAAAAGCACTGGGCACAATGCTATTATTACCTTGTAGCCACTGGTCCAGAGTATTATCAATAGTGCATTTTACAACAGGGAGGAACTCAGAGTTCATAAAGAGCCCACGCTTAGGGTGGTTCTGTAGCCGCTCCTGGTGGCTCCTGGAGCTGAAAAACTCTAACACCAACTTTATCTGCCAAAGTTCAGATGTCTCAGACATTTCTCTTCTTCCTAGTCTTCTCATAGCCTTGAAGAGACAAAAGGAACAGCAGTCCACTTAGTGAAAGGAAGAGTGAAATTGCTCTAATGGTCTCTTCCTCAGAGTTGTATAATAGAGGATTTTTAAAATATGGCTCATATATCAATAAAGAGCAGAGGGGAATCCATTCCATGTTTTGATGTAGTCAGCCATACAGAGGAACCCTCCACTAGGTGCAGATACATGTCCACTCTCTTCAATATGGTCCCCACATAAACAGCTTTTGGATAAAAGCAACAAATGCAAATGAGCTCATTCTTGGCTCAATGACTCTGAAAAATGAAGACCCACTAGGTCTACGGCCAGTCACCTCTGAGAAACCCAAGTGGAGTACAATGACATGGCCAGGGATCCCAGGGGTCAGAAGGCAAAACAATATTACTGATAATACTGCTCTTGGGACCCATCTGCAAAGTCACCATGGCTGCAACCAGCAGGGATGTCCTTTTGTAGACACCTGCTCATGACAGTGAAGGGATAAAGGTTCAGAGCATAAAAAGGGAACACTTTGAGCCAACAAAAGAAAAACAACTCATTACTTGGCTGCTATCTGGAGAAGCCCTGTGAGAAGCAATGTCAGTGTGGATATCACATAATCATACTTTCCAATTAAAACATGTGGATGGATATCAGACAATAATGCCATTCTGGGCCTATCTGGTTATATTAGAACTTGCCTTTTGATAAGAATATTACTTAACAAAATATGATTTTCAGGTTTTGAGGAATTCTCCCCTGCCTAAATGTCATTTTCCTACTTTTCAATAGAGATTATTTTGCCATTAGGAATTACTTCCTTTGGTTTTAGACACTGAGTCCCACATGCTTATCTGTGAACTCATCATGTCACACTCACTTAAAGAATTGTTTAAAACCACAGACCTGGAACTCATCCCAGAAATTCTGATTCAGGAGATGATACAGAATGGGATTTGAAGATCTGTATTTTTAAGATTCCTCATACAAATTTAAGCCAAGTTAAAAAACTACTGGCTTAGCTTAACTGCAATTTTGGGTCTGAAAGGTATGATACTACTAAAAAGTCATATTTTGTTTCTCAAATTCCTTGTATCAGTGAGAGCATATGATAATTGTCTTTCTCTGAAATAAGATGAAACCAGAGAGGAAGACAATCCATAAGAAACTCTTAATCTCAGGAAACAAGGCCGGATGATGGACATTGAAGAGGGTATGTGCTATGGTAAGCGCTGTGAATTGTGTAAGATTGACGAATCACAGACCTGTACCTGAAACAAATAATACATTATATGTTAATTAAAAAAAAAAGTCATATGTATTACTAATAACCTAAAGTGAATAAATTGGTCTGATCCTTTAGGGAAGCAGTTAAGCATCATTTTCTGCATTACCACTTTTAGGTTCTTTTAAAACAGCAATAACACAAGAGAAATTTAAAAATGAACTCAGAGGGGAAGGAGGTGGGGCGATGGGATAGCCCAGTGATGGGTATTAATGAGGGCACATGTTGTGATGAGCACTGGGTGTTATATGCAACTAATGAATCACTGAACACTACATCAAAAACTAATGATGTACTATACAGTGGCTAACTGAACGTAATAATAAATGATAAAACATAATAATAAAAAAAATGAACTCTAGCTTCCTAAATCACTATATACTAATATTATAACCTCTTGCAAACTTAATCACGGGCATAATCTCACATTACTGCCATCACTAGGGCACTGTTTGTTCACTCACTGCTCATTCGCATATCTTTTCCGTGAAGAGGCTTTGTCAGGAAGGAGGCAAGAGACCACTGGAGGATGCTAGGGGAGAAAGGGAGGGAACGTGCTCTTCCTCTGCTAGTCAAGGAAAGAGAAAAAAAGGGGAGAATGGGAACTCTAGAGTAAGACAGCCCACCAGGGGGCATTCCTGTCATTATAAGTTCTAAGCTTTTTTGTTATACATACAGCTTTCAAGTTTTATAAGGTTTCCTTTTCTGAATTTCTAAAAGCAAATGAGAAACCAAAAAGATGGACACACAGGGAACCTTACCTCACTGTTCAGTATGTTATTTAAAATACAGTAGAAATGTCATCAGAATTGGACTGTTTTTTGAACCATACCTGATCCATTGCTATGTATGCAGGCAACATCTCTGGGGTCTCCTGAGTAACACATTCATACAGTACTGAAGAAAACAGATCCAGAATTTCCTGTTTCTGTGGAAAATTAGAAACTTTTTGTAGCACATCAGTGTATATTCCAAAATCAATTCCACATTGTATAGCAACTACTACGGCCCATTCTTAAGCTCTACAGTCAATAATATATAAGGTAAAATAGGTATCTCTTTATGAAATCACAGTGAATGTAACACTAAACATCAATAAAATATAATAAAATTAAGTCCCAAGGGACAGTTATGGATATAAGTGCTGTGAGGAGAGGAAGGATCAGCTGGGGTAAAATGAGCAGACAGGACACCACAGAGATGTGCCTTGGGTTAGGCTGGCAAGAGCAAGATCCAGAAAGAAAACCCAGCATCTACAAAGATGCAGTACAAACACTGAGCAGAACAGGTATGGAGGAGACAGCACAACCAAATCCAGCTAGGCTTAAGGGCAGGCACGGACTTCATCAGAGACCTGCAGCCCTGAATGCATGCCCAGCCCTTACTAGCTGTGTGATCTTAGGCATGTGATATCTGAGTGGCAGTTTCCTCACCTGTAAACCTGGAATGATAAAGTACCTACCCTCAGAGTCGGAATCCAATAAGAAAATTAAATAAAATACTGAGCAAAATGTCTAAAAAATAGTCAAGATTCAGTAAGTTAAAGGGGTTACAATTGTCTCACTTAACCCTCAAAACAACAACATAAGGTAGGTTCTATCATAATCCTACTTCTAGAAACAAGGAAAATGCCTTTTGGAGAGCCTGATATTTTCCTGGAGCTACACACACTTATAGGCAACAGGCCATCAATCCCAGATATCAAATTCCTACATCCAAGCTTTGGATTAAATAAAAGATCTGCTGGGCACCCTTTGAATCCTGAAGAGAACAACAGTTTTATGACCAATAGAAAAAAAGTTATAAAATGCAGAGAAAACAATAAAATTATGTAAAAATAAGAGATAGTAAACACTGAAAATATCAATCAGTACAAGAATGCACATAAGAAAATATCACCTACTGAAATTAACATCTTAGAAATTTTAAGTTGTTTCTTCTATCAAGGTAGGGAGTTACTGAATTTAACAGTTTTAGACTATGAAAAATCTGCATTTGCCAAGCAAAAATCATCCAATGTACCCAAGGCACGTCATCAACCTCAAAGATAGGTATGGATATTACAGGGTTTTTTGGTGGTGTCCACAGATAAATGTAAGAACAAATTGTAGTCTGGCAGCTGAGCAAAATATATGATACATACCTGACCCATATTCACAGTTGGTTTGCAGAAATATTCAGCAAATGACAGAAGTGCTGGATCAGAAGTGAATGCTGAAATTGTTTCTGGCTAAAAAAATAAACAACAGCAACAAATATAAGTGAGATATTAGAAGTTATTTTCCTTACTGCTCAAATTGTAGTATATGCAGTTTTAAGAACTCTACCTCACTGTTTTCACACAATGTTCCCATAAAGCCCAAGGCTGTACAAACTTGCTAGAGCTTCACCAACCTGTTCTGCTGAGAAGTTACAGGACGCTTTTTAGCACAAGCCAAACATGAGCTACTGATTTATCAAAAGGCCAATAATAAATAGGTCTTGCTTACACAACTTGCCCCCAAAAGGCTTTCACCTCTCCCTCATTAACTAACTGAAAAACAATTAAGAAACTAGAACTGCTACTGAAAAGGTAAGAAAAAAAGACTACCATTCAAATAAGCCACTCACTAAAAGGTAAATACTGTATGATTCCACTTATATGAGGATCCTAGAATAATCAAATTCAGAAACAGAAAGCAGAATGGTGGGCACCTGGGGCTCTGAGGAAGTAGGAACAGGAGTTGCTGTTGAATGGGTACAGAGGTTCAGTTTTGTTAAGATCAAAGAGTCCTACAGATGGATGGTGATGATGATTGCACAATATAAATGGACTTAATGTCACTGAACCATACACTTAAAAAGGGTTACAACAGCAAATTTTGTGTGTATTTTACCGCAATAAAAAAAATTGGGGAAAAAAAAGATTAACACTCACGGTTCGAGAAAATGGAACATGGAATATATGGAATACAAAAGTATTACCATTTTCCATTGAGGTTTATATTTTACTTCTGAATTCCCTTGAAGCAGGAAACTGAGATGTCTTAATCTTTATGTAATTTCCCAATTCAAAATCAAGTATAAACTTCTCTATTTTCTTTACAAATTAGATTAGGGTCTTTGAGATGGGCTCTAATTTATACAAGCAATGGTGCTTAAGTTAAACCGTACCCAAAAGTCCTTCAAAACTATTTCACAGACATCCTATCAAATACTGCCAAACAAAATTTACTGATGTCAACTACATCTATTTAAACCCTGGGAACTAATATAAAGGCTCAGTCATAAGTAATTGGTCCAAAATGAAATGTGAGTTAAATTAAAATAAATGCTATCTCCTTATGTGGAAAAACAAAAGGTGCTAATTCAGTCCGCTGGCCACCACTTAGCCAGTCCACTGGCCACATTTTTGCCTCTACCACACCCTCTAGAGGTCCTGACCACTTTACACTGCCACTCAACGTATCTTCAGCAGAAGCACCGTTGCACATGGAATTCCTGAAAACTGTACTTAAACTGAGAAATTTTAATGTTAGTTTATGGAACATATTTCTAGTGTGGGAAACTTATTTGAGTTCTAAAGTGTAGAGTAAAATATGTACTGACCGCGATAGAAATGAGATTGTTTCATTACACTCTTACTTTAAGTACTTTTTCATTCAAAATACTCTTGAATTAGCAGTCAAGTACTATGAGGATAATAAACTGATAAAATAAATCTGTCATCATTTTATCCTCACCAAGATTTAACCAACAAATGGAGGGTTTAAAAAAGAAACTAATTAGTGCTACCTTGTAAAAATCTTCTATTTCTGCCATGAATTAAGCAAATTTTAACAGATTTGAAGATTACTAAGTAAAATTATTAAACTAAATGTTTTTACAATGTTAAGATATATTGTCCCTACTGCTAAATGTAAGTCATCCTTAGAGTTCTGGCAGATGGCCCGTATTTTATTATAGTTGCTACATAAAACAAGAAACAGATCCAAGGTTATGCAGTCTTTATAATTTGCAGTGATGAGAGAGCAGATTCACCTAAATGGTACCATAAATGTTATCACAGAAGTACATGCTTTGGATGGGCTAGTGGGATTTGTAATTATTCCATCTCATCCTTCAGTTTTTAACCAATCAATACTACCTTGAAAGCCCGAGCTTCAGAGTTCCTGTTGGCCACAGTCTGGGCCAACAAACTTTGCCACCCCATTGGATCTTCCTTATAGGAGAGCTGACCTGCTCTGAGCTTAACATACAGAACTCCATCCTTAGAAAGGATTGATCTGAAAAAAAAAACAAGAATGAATTTTATGTGAGGTGTTATTTGTAGTTCTCGGCTGGAAACATACTGTCTCCCAACACCTTGTTCACATGAGATGAAGTCTTTATCATTTTCCAGTAGGGTATATGATTATTTACTGTGTCTAAAATTAAATCAGTCCCTATGAGAAAGCCAAAATAAAGTTCTACTTTTCTTTGGTGTCTAGGTTCACAGAACTTAGTTAAGTAAAAAGGTGCTCTACCTGTTCAAGTGTGTGCTTCAAAGGCTTTTATCTAACACTTTTTCATATTCCTTTTATCCTCTATCTACTGGAGGTACTAAATATCTATTGATTGGTTTGCAGCAGAAAAAAAATGCTGCAAATAACAATATAGAAAACAGCTATCATATAGATAGTTTAAGGGAAATATAAATTGGGACCAAACTATAAAAATTCTTATGTGCTTGTTAAACTTTCTAGAAATTTAAAGACTTAATTTACACACTACTTAAGGTATAAAATTAAGACTCTGTTCAAGAATTACTTATATATGACTATTTCCACCCAAAAGCAATCTATCATAATCTTAATTTTATGAGAACAATTTGACAAAACAATAATAAAAAGATACAAAGATGTGGTCTGATAAACATCATTTGTTATAAAGTTCCCTTTGTAGACGGACATACACGCCAGCCTTATTCCCCCCTTTTTTAAAGATTTTGTTCATTTATTTGACACACACACACACACACACACACACACACAGCACAAGCAGGGGAAGCAGCAGGCAGAGGGAGAGAGAGAGAGAAGCAGGCTTCCCGCTGAGCAGGGAGCCCAACGCGGAGCCTGACCCCAGGACCCTGAGATCATGACCTGAGCTGAAGGCAGACACTTAACCAACTGAGCCACCCAGGCTCCCCCCAGCCTTACTTTCTTACACTGATTTTCATTACTGCTCCAACAGATAATTCCATTACTGTACCAACTCAGGTCACTACAAGTTTTTCAATGAATAAATATAACTATTAGGGTTTGTCTTCTAAACTAAAACTCAGGCACCTGGGTGGCTCAGTTAGTTAAGCATCTGCCTTCGGCTCGAGTAGTGATCCCAGGGTCCTGTGATCGAGCCCCACATCGGGCTCCTTCCTCAGCGGGGAGCCTGCTTCTCCTTCTGCCTGCCGCTCCCCCTGCTTATGCTTGCTCTCTCCCCACTCCCACCCCATGTCAAATAAATAAATAAAATATTTAAAAAAAAAAAACAACTAAAACTCATTTTCTAATACAAACTCTGTTTCAAAGTTACAGACCACTTTATTCAATATATACTCTACTGTCCTGTATGAGATCAAAGGATGACAAGGAAACATTCTAGATAATAATCCGCAATTTCTACCTTCCCATATACTTCTATTCACTTCACAGATACATCTAAGAAATTCAGTATACTTACTTCAAGTGTTGTGTTCCCTTGCTTAAATCTATGAGCAGTTCCCAGTATCGTGGGCCTTTTACTTTAATCTGCCAAGATAAATGTGAACACAGTCGACCGAATGCTAAAAAAGTGCTAGTTTGACAAAATGAAACCCACGTTTCTCAGAGGAAATAAAAATAAATAGGCTGGAAAGAAACACTGAAAAGTTAACAAGCTTCATTTCTACATAAAAATGTACATGAATCAAGTTCTACAGCCATCCAACCTCTCAGTAAAGATCGGCAAGTACAGACCTTCTCTGTTCCTCATGACAATTCCTCCTGGGGCTGCTTTCCTATTTCCTATAGAACACTGAGAAAGCATAGGCTTTTACTTGGCTACCTTTGATGCTATACTATCCTGGCTGAATTAACCTCTTGCACAGATCTCCCTAAATCACATCCCACTTACCTGCTTTAACAGGTGGAGTTCTGGAAGAAGGGTAGGAGCCATCAATTCTTCTTTGGTTTGTTCATACCACTGAGTACCCTTTACAAACGTAAAAGAACAGCCACAATTCACTATGTAGTTAGGGGAAGCTACAAAGAAGAAATACCTCCACTCTGTACTTCTTCTCTCTCCCCACAGTTTCTACACAGATGGTCAAATGGCATTAAATGCTCTCTGGTATCCAGTCTTAAGAGCAAAGTCTACAATCCTTTGCAGGGCCTGCATCCTCTTATACCACCTCACACGCTAGCAGTACATATCTGTACTTCTGAGGCCTCTAGGTTTTTGCACATATGGTCTTCTGGGAATGTGCCTCTGCTCAGCTGGCAAATCTCAGCCCAAACATTGTGTCTACCATGACAACTTCCCCAACCCTCAACAGCTGGAGGGGGCATTTCTCCTCAGTTCCCCTGCATTCTACACATACCCCCCCACTCTACTCTGACTGCACCCATGGCTGGCTACCCAATGGACAGGAGTCCTTAAGGAATACAATGATGTAATTTTTATACCCCAGAGCCTCTGCATAGTTTTGACGCACAGAGGGTACTTAATAATATTCTGAATGAAGGATACATGACTTATAATCTGTACATCTAAATCAAGGATCTCTCATCAAATACATGATCTTAAAGCACTCTGCACACAAATCTAGGAATAGTTTTAACTCAACTCATTCTTTAGAACACTTTAGTGAACAAGGACATTTTCAAACTATAGGCTCTAGGGACAAAAGAGCAGCTCATGACTTCTACAATATTACCCTCATAAACTACAAATGAGCCCAAATGGCCTGGCAGGATGTACAAGAACTTTAGAAGCTTCAATTTTTATAAGAGATTAATTCACTCTGTCATCTTTTAAAGGACATTTTTTAAATATTTTGACCTGCAAAGATGTATGAGTGGTAACAAAATTACAAATAAATGAGGGGAGGAAAGAATTACCTTATAGGTAACTTCTAAAAGGGCATAGCAGGGCATGTTTGTGTCCACATCCACAGGCACTAGAAGCCTTGGTTCTGCAGCCAGCACATACAGGTGCCGCAGAGCCTGGAGATGATACCTGTTCACAGAAAACACAGAGAGGAGGTAACAAGCAGGTGCCGACGGCGTGAGCTCCACAACCATGACAGAAGCTGGGGTTGCTATCTTCCCATGACAGCAATCCTGAAGGAAGATGATGAGATTCAACTAAAAACTGATGGAGAGTTTCTCTTTAAAAAATTATAGACACATGATCCTTGACTCAAGAATTCTTTACTTGCATTTTCACAGTTAAGAGGTTTTATAGATGAGGTAAAAATTATCTTAACATGAAAATATTTACTGATAAATTCAACACTTATAAAATCAGTTCTCAAATAATCCTTTAATGCCCCACACAGGCACCTTTTTACCTTCCAAGGGACTTATTTCTATTCTTTGTTTTTCTGACTTAAGGGTTGGTAGGGAGAAGGAAAGCTCTTCTACATATGCATCCCTGTACACAAATACACACACACACCTGGGATCTAAGGACACCGAAAACTAATGGGGGAGATTATGAAGTTTTTCTTTCTGTGTGTGTGCTTTTCTGGGTTTTTTTAAAAAAAAAATTTTTTTAACTTTAAAATTTATATTTTAGCATTTAGACACAAAAAGTTTTTACATTTTAAGATGCCATAAAAGGATAAAATGAGACTTCAAATTTTTCTTTTTAAAGTTTAGTTACAGCAATAGCCTCCCTCTTCCCACCCAAACCTACCCTTTCCTATAAATTAATTAGAATTAAAAGCAGAGGGGGGCTCCTGCTGCTGAACTCTGGGTGCAAATAAGTGGGGCCTACTGAGAAGAGGACTCCTAAAATGACAAATGTGTCTAGAAGGCTGTGTTCCAAGGCCATTTTTGCTGGCTATAAGCAGGGTCTCCAGAACCAGAGGAGCACACAGCTCTCCTTAAAATTGAAAGTGTTTATGCTTGAAATGAAACTGAATTCTATCTAGGCAAGAGATATGCTTAGATGTACAAAGCAAAGAATGACACAGTGACTCCTGGTGGCAAACTGAACAAAACCAGAGTAATCTGAGAAAAAGTAACTGATGCTCATGGAAACAGTGGCATGGTTCATGCCAAATTCCAAAGCAACCTTCCTGCTAAAGCCACTGGCCACAGAATCTGTGTGATGTTGTACCCCTCAAGGATTTAACCTTACTGAAAAATAAATAAATAAATAAATAAAGGTGTAGATCTGTTCCTGTTTAAAAAAAAAAATTAAAAGCAATCACGGCCAGAAAAAAAAAAGATATTTATCAGTTACATAAAGGCTCTTGGTGCTCACCAAATTAGTTTGTTTAAAATAGCTAAATCAAATGATCCTCCCAGCAATATGAAAGTGTGGCTCTTTGTTGTACCCTAACCACTAATTACTGACTTTAACAACTCAAAATGTCTCTCCTAAACTGACAAGAGACCACTTGTAAGAGTTGCATTAATTTAAGAAGAATATGCTTGTGCTCCATCTATCATCAGAATTTGGATGTCAAATCAGGCCACTTTTATAAAGAGCTAACTTTCATTTATTATTACTATTTTAAACTACATTACACTAGAGCGTGACAGCTTAGTTACTCTGTTACTGCTCCATCTCTTGATGCTTCTCTTGAGAGATGAGTTGAACACACTGGTCACCTCGGATGTCACGGGAACATAGAAGCTATTTTCTCCCCCTCCTCCACATGCAGTAGGAATCAGCTCTGCCTGAAACTACTGGGGAGACTGCAGTGCTGATGGTTGTTTGTGCTCTCAAATGCAGAACTTCTATACAATCACACCTTTCCTATGTGTTTGAGGTTCCAGGGCTCACTGCCACTTCTAAGTTGTCTCTGATTCTTGGCTGCATTTTGCTTTTCGTGTCCCTTCTATTTCATTTATATAAAACTTCTCAGCATTTATGTAAAAGAGGGAAAAAGGGAATTCATATAGACACTGCCACTAAATCAGATCAATTTCTCTCTTAGAATTAAACAATTATAGTATAAAACATATCATCTTGCTTCTGTTGGCTACTATCTTTTGTTTGATGAATTTTTCCCTAACGATAACCCTGTTTGGCCCACTTCTGGGTTCACAGCAGTTCTACTGATTAAAAAATGGTGGAAGACTGATCCTTCAGTTCATCAGATGTACAAAGTTCTCTTTTGGTCTAATACTTAGAGAGACATTTTAAAAGATTTAGTCAGGAAGATAACTTAGTCCAAAAAGAGAATAAACTAATTTGGAAATGAATCCATGGAACCAAATCATCATCAAATTACCCCTTGGAGACCTTACGAAAGATCACATTGAAGACAGAATCACTAGACTCACCGGTTGTCAGTGCTGTGAGCTGGGAAGTGCGGGTAAAGGGCACAGAGAAGAGCTGCAATTGAAGAGTTTGACATACTCAAAGAGTACCTGTGAAACAAATGCAGGAGGTAAAGACGTTATTATACTATGCAAACTTCCAAGGCCTTCTTGAGAATCAGGAAATTGGAGAACTGTGGCAAGGGCCCACTGATGAAATGCCTTGATAGATACAAGTGTGTCAATGCTACCAACGTGTCACTTTTCAGTGAGTCTTTAAGCCACTTCAAGATCATCTACTAATGAAAGCAGAAGCAACTTCTCATAGATACTAACTTCCAAAACCTGAATTAATAAACATGGTTTTTTAACCAAAAATATCACAGTAGTGAGGACCATGAATGCAATCCTAGAGATTACAGATACTGACAAAGTCATGTATGAAGGACACCACTTCTCCAGTTCTATACATACCTCCTTAGACAATAACAACCCTCACTTCTAAAAATACAGGGTTTGTAACTGGGTGTATCTCAAACTTTTTTGTTTCTGTAAAGCCTGAGCATTTCCTTAAAATGATGGACTAAATGAAAAAGGTATAAGTTATCATAAAAAGTTACAATGAATGTATAAACAACTATTCCTCCAAGTACAAATAGCTTTTTTTCTTATCAATGTGATAAACTTATTTTTATAAAGGCCACATACTCTTTCTTTTTTTTTAAGATTTTATTTATTTATTTGACAGAGAGAGACACAGTGAGAGAGGGAACACAAACAGGGGGAGTGGGGGAGGGAGAAGCAGACTCCCCGCCGAGCAGGGAGCCCGATGCGGGGCTCGATACTCTTAATAAAATCTTTTGAGATTTTCCTTATATTATTTTACTGTTGCTCAAACTCTGCATGGCAAACAAGCAGATTACTCTAAAGTTCTAACGTTTTTCTTACAAATATTTTGAAATAAAAATAGTACCAGACATCACATAAAACCACTGTTGCAGATAACCAGTACAGATATATATTTTATTATATACATTCACATGCACACACACACACACATATCCCCAAGTCTTTATCTATTTTAATAATTAAGGTATCAAGCAAGAACTTAGCATTTATCATATATACACATACTTAAGGAATTAGGAAGAAGAGATTTCAAAATTTATGTAAGGAAATACATCTATTTTCACATGTGCATAAAATAGGCCATTGTCTCTTTACCATTTCAACAAAACCAAAATCCAAAGATAAACGTTAGATATTGTTAGAAATTTTGGATTAAACATAGGATATGGTTATGCAATGAGAAATTTAAATGTTGTCACAGAGTACACATAACCATTTAAAGACCAGGAATCATTAGAAAAGCAGAGCAGAGTAGGAGAAAATCTACTCACTATGAAAGCAGAGGAAATACGGTCACAGTATAAAACAATGAAAAATAAGATTGAATAAGATTGAGTACACTGGAATTGAAATTTAAAAAAAAAGAGTACAAGAACAAGAGAGATGCAGGGGTTTATTTGGAAAGGAAAATAAGTTTTCAAAAATCATAAATAAGAAGAATTTTCATATTAAGATTTCCTTAACCATTCTTAATTCTAAACAATTAAAGAAAGAACAATTTGGGGCACCTGGATGGCTCAGTCATTAAGCGTCTACCTTCGGCTCAGGTCATGATCCCAGGGTCCTGGGATCAAGCCCCGCATCAGGCTCCCTGCTCTGCGGGAAGCCTGCTTCTCCCTCTCCCACTCCCCCTGCTTGTGTTCCCTCTCTCACTGTCTCTCTATCAAAATAAATAAAATACTGAATGAAAGAAAGAACAATTGTACAAAACCTGTTAAAAGAGAAAGCACACCTTTCTGATAATCCTTACTTTTTATACTTCTAGAAAGGTGAGCTCCAATATTTAATTCAGTCTTACAGAAGAGAGGAAAATAAAACTATATGACTTGTAGAAATTCTATCAGTTGACCAAGGTCACATAAACTAAAGTTAAATAAATGAAACAATACACCATATTCACAGATTGAAAGACTCAATATTATAACAGATTTCAATTCCTCCCAAACCAATATATAGACTCAATGCAATTCTCATCAGTATCTTATCAGGTCATTTAGTGTGGAAAATCATACACAAATTCCAATTTTTACACAAAAATTCAAGGAGCCAAGAACAGAAAAACACACTTTTGAAGAAGAAATCCCAGTTTGGAAGATTTATTCTACCTAACATCAAGACTTATTACAAAGCTACAATTATTAAGGCTGTGGTACTATGCAAGTATAGAAAACTAGACCAGCTGAACAGAATGGCCCAGAAATAAATGTACGTATATGGACACTTAATTTATACTAAAAATGGTATTGCAGAACAGTGGAGAAAAGATAAACTTTTCAATAATAGTGGGGCATCAATTATCAAAAAATCATACAGAAAAATCAGGTACAGATAGATTTTATATCTAAATGTGAATGGAAAAGCTAAAAAACTTGTAAAAAATAAAGAGAGTATCTTCATTTGGGGGCGGGGGGTAAGGAAATATTTCATCAGAAGGACAAAACGTACAAACCATAAAAGAAAAATGTTAATAACTTTGTTCATCAAAAGACACCATTAAGAGAGTTAAAAGGTGAACCACACAGCAGGACAAGGTAAGTACAACACGTAAGAGTGACAAAGGGTTCAGGATTATAATGATAAACCAATACAGAACGGTCAGAGACGAATAGAAACAGAGAGTAGAACAGATACTGTCAGAGGCTGGGAGAAGGGGGCAAGAAGGAGCTGTTGTTTAAAGGGGACAGAACTTCAATTCTGCAAGGTGAAAAATTCTGGCGATTGGTGAATACACTTACTACTACTGAACTGCACATTCAGAGATGATTAAGAAAATAAATTCTATGTTATGTGTATATTACCACAAATAAAATTTTTTTTTTAATTTTATTTATTTATTTGACAGAGAGAGACACAGCGAGAGAGGGAACACAAGCAGGGGGAGTGGGAGAGGGAGAAGCAGG